TGAGCTTCCTGTTAGAGCAATTATTTGACGTGTCCTTCAGCAAGTTGTGCAAGGGTTTTCTGTAGCTGACCCTAAACATCGACCTACATGTGAGAGGAGATCCTGTACAAAAAATAAAAACAAGAATACATGACATAGATCATGGCATTGCTGGTGGAAAATATGTCCTATTATGGTTAGTGTTAAGACTGAATTGCAGTTGAAGAGTTTCTATATTGGCTCACAACATTTTACAGCCTTTAATATCAATTTCTCTGAATGTGTGTCTTGAATATTATTGCTTTTTGATATTTTAGAAATTACATTATTAAGAAAAGAGACTTGTTAGTCAATTCCAATAACTGTCTCAGTCTTTGTCTTGATGTCACTGATACGTCACATCATGACAAATCAGTGGGTTACTACTGAAACACGATTTGCTCCGATTACAGCACAGCTTTTTCAAGAGTATTTCACAACTCTATTGATGGAGACCTTGAACACTTATAAAAAAAAAACATCAGTCTGTTTGAGAAATTCACACAAATCTTAGAAGTGAAAGCCTTTTTTTCCCTGAAAAAACAGCTCAGATGCAGCCATGCCACCAGGAACAGCAGAGGCAATGTATCGCCTCATGACACAGCAGACACACCACCCACCTACTCATACAATCTGGCCTACACCAGCCAGCCCACGCTCTCCCCTTCCGTCTTCCCCGCCAGGAAACTGAGCAGATAAAGAGGAGGAAATCACGCTTCATAAGGAAGTACGTGATGTAATAAGGGGGTGCAGATGCAGGCATTCCTATGTTGATTCATCAAAGCTGGACAGATAATTGGGCAAAGTGGGGAACTACGCAAAGATGTACGACTGACAAAAGCCCCAGCTTCAAAGTGTGTCAGTTGGTTTGAGGTGTTTTGTTCGAGAATATGAACAATGCAATATCCTGACCTTGAGGCCCTGTGTGTCAGTGAGATGTGAAAGTGACATGGAATTCACATTCAGCACCACAGACAGTCATTGCTGAATGATCCAAGCATCAAAAAAGCCCAGATAAAAAAAAAGAAATGAAATAGAATAAAAGAAAGTATATGTCACTGTAAATGTCTTTGGTCCACACATTTTGCTAATATTAACAGTCTGAGTAATGAAGCATGAATTATTCAGCCTTGATGTAGTCAATATTTGTAAATGACACGCCGTCTGTTCACAGCCAATCAGCTGAGAGTCACATAAGAAGGGCGTATTTAGAATATGCTTTTGCAAACAAGAGAAATGTTTTAGCAGCTTTCATTACTGGCTTTTATTACATTTGTTTATACTTCTCTGTAATATATAACCACTGTAGATAAAGGAAGCATTAACAGACTGCTGTTATGAATCCTGCATGTTTCCTTATTGTTTGCATTTGGAGTTTTTGAGCTGTCACTATAAAGTTTTAGTTCTTTCAGTTATAAAATTTACAAGCAAAGCCTTTGCCTTAACTTGTAACGAAGCAGTAGCTGTAAATGACATAAGAAGAAGGGTGCAACTTTTGTGCAGTGTTGGTGTATGAGTGAAAATACATTTCAAATGAAGAATAGGGCTTTGAGAGATAACTGGAAGCTACATCAACTTCTTGATTTGATTCGTTTGTTACTTTCTGAGCCAGTGAACAATGAAAACGTTCATGTTACGATCTTGGTGGGTGGAAATCCTTCCAAAGTGGGCAACAGCCACAACTGACAACTTTAAAGGTCCAGTGTGTAGGATTTAGGGACATACACTGGTAGAAAAGGAATATAATATAATAAGGATTTTTCTTTAGTGAGTAATCAGCTCAAAATAAGAATTGTTGTGTTTTCATTATCTTAAAATTATCCTTTTATATCTGTGGAGCAGGTCCTTGTCCACAGAGTCAGCTATGTTGCGCTGCCATTTTTCTGTAGTAACTCAAAATGGATAGACCAAACTCTGGCTCTCGATGTGGCCATTCACGTTTTCATGTTTTTGCGTTTTTTTATCAGCCACCATAGTTAGCAGCTCCTCCACAATTAGCATCGTCGGAAAAACAGTTTTTTAAAACATGAAACTGCTTTATTCAGTGTTTTCAGTGTTTTTATCAGTTAGTGGTATCAAAACCTGAACAACGAACAGTGGAAGAATTCTAACTGGGAGAAGTTTTAGCTGGCTGCAAACTGCAATCCTCACTTTTAGATGCCAATAAATCCCCCTAAATCTTAAACAATACGCCTTTAAAGATCCAGTGTGTAGGATTTAGTGGTATCTAGTGGTGAGGTTGCAGAACTGAAACTTCTCCCATGTGCCAAGCAGGGGCGGACTGGGACACAAATTCAGCCCGGGACATTCAGGCGCACCGGCCTACACACTGGCCCATGCACTGGCCCACACGTTTCTACCTATGATCCTCTATATGCTTGTACACACTACACAAACGCACTGACTAATTATTATACAAAGACATCAGTAATTGTCTGCCCTGCCCAGCCCTGCTCTTGTATTACATTAAGTCCAATTTATATCTCCATGGCTCACAGCCATGAACTAAGGAGGTATAAATTGGGCAATAGGCCCTATAGTCAACTTTTAGTCAACTTATTACTACAACAAAAAAATCCCACTTAGTACTACTAAAAAGGTTTTCCTCTGGCTAAAATGTAATGCATAGTAGGCTCCTCATCATGACTGGGGTTAGTCTGTCCCTCAGCTTCATTGTCCTTGGGACTGGGAGCACCACCTAACGTTAATTGCGTGCATCCACAGGAAAAAAGCAAGCACATATTTTATTTTAGTACAGGTTCAAATTATAATGACTTAATGCAATACCTAGTAGGCTAGTTGGCCTCTTGAACTGGACACTAACAAGAAATACACAATTTTCCAAAGCCAACCTTGTATGTAGGATAACTATGATGGCCAATAAGAAAACACAGAAATGCAAATGGCCTAATTTAAAGCCAGTGTCTGATTTGTCCGTTCTGGGCTACTGTAGAACAACATGGCAGACTCTATCAAAGCGCACCTGAACCCTTTGATATAAACAGCTAATTTTAAGGTAACGAAAACACAATTATTCATATTTTCAGGTGATTTTAAACAAATGAAAACAGTTTCTGATCACCATCTTTGCCAATAGATGCCCCTAAATCCTACACACTGGACCTTTAAACAAAGGTCCTCTCCTGTTTAGCAAACACGATAAAAGCTCATTTCCAACAAAATGTTTGTATTTGTGCTGCCAGTTACAAATCTGGGAAACCTAAGTCAGTCTGTTATCTCTGATGTTGCCTAAGTGAGACATCTGTTTGCTTTGGAAAAGCTAGACAGAAGCTGTCACGTATGTCTCTACAAGAAGAGAAAGTGAGATGCCCTCTGCTTGGAGGACTACCTATCCATTATCTGTTGCAGAAGGAATGTTTTGTCAGTGAGATCCTTATTATCAGCTGCTGGTGTAAACGCTCTGACCTTGGGAGGCTATAGCAAGACCTTGGCCTGGAAAAACGAGGCTGTGACGCAGAGAGCTGCAGTCCTGCACCTTATAGAACAGGTGTGCAGGGATGCTTATGAAGCAGTAAAATAAAAGTACAACACAGGCTGAATCCCCACTGTACAATGACTGAATGTAAATGTTTGGTTTGATGTTATACTTAAACAGAGTACACATATCAAAAAGAAAAGTGCGTTTCTAAATAAAGCCCAATATATGGCATTATTACTCATGTAATACTGAGAGACAGGAGATGAATGTGTGTATGTTATATGTTATATAACTTCAGACATTTCAATCAGTCATCTATTTAAACATCTCAGACCGTCTTTTCGTACATACCGTACATCCTGCCTGAAAGAATCTTTGTCTGAGGGGAATCACAATGGAATGCCAACACATTCCCAGCTGGCGTTTTAAAATGTGATTTTTGTGGAATTTCCAGAGCTAAACGGGGATAGATAGCTTTTTGTGTCATGGCATGACAGCTTCCTTGATTTGCACATGAGTAAGGCATCACATGGGACAAAGTGTGACAGATAAAATTGTTAAGGCTGTCAGACCATCGGACCATCATGGCAGAACAAAACAGGAATGCATGGCTCGTTAGTGTTTATGTGTTTCAATCCATCTTTCTGAGATTTAAGATGTAAAAAAATGTGTGTCTCATCATACATTTTACAGTATCTTAGCATTATTTCCATAATTTGTCACGTGTATAACAGGCATTTTGTTTCGAGTCAAGACAGTCCATCATTTCTCAAAACATGCTTACCTTTCATAATTGTTTAAGGCACAATTATATCAAATTCAGTTCTAGGAGCTAAATAATAATATATCTATTATTTTAGGGCTTTCCTGTCATGTGTACACACATTCTGGTACAGTAACGTTGGAAACTGATATCTAAAAACCTTGTCAGTACAAGAAGCAGATCATGCCAGCATGGATTAAACATCTGTTTAGTGGCTTTAACTGTCATCTTCTGTATGGTCTGTCCATTGGGTCAAAAAGGTCAGTGCATCACCAAGGATTCACCTCAGCAACAGCCAATTTCATTCAATGAGGCCAGTGAAGGGGGGAGCACCTCACTCCCTACCCTCTGATATCATCTTACCTGTAACACTGGGACATTGTCTGTGGCAAATGTTCAAGCGGCCCACTTTGGAAAACATTTTGCAGGTATGCTGGGCATTTTCACACTTCAGAGGGATGTTCACATTTTCGGGGTCATGTTTGTCTTGCATCCAGACTGATATGGGGGGACTACAGCTTAAGCATGTCATGTGCATGAAGAAACCTGTACCTGGTGTGTTTTGTTTGTGTTCTTTATGCGTGAGCTGCCAGAGGCTCAGGTGTAACACATACAGTCCTCATCTCAGAGGGTGTTGGGTTTCAACCCAGCAGGGTCTGGCTGGCCTCCTCCAGCTACTGTTACCAGGCTACTCTCATCACTTATTTATATGCTCTCCTCACCCCAAAGCTCTCGGTGGCTATTTGGTTGGGTGGTTGGTCGGCTAAGCGGGGGGAAGGACAGAATTTCCCTTTTTGCCAGAGCAGTGCACCATCAGGGCTCCTAGAGGAGCACCGTACCTGAGCTGGGGCCCGATGCAGAACGGGGAGGCTATGAGCCCACAGGACTCTGAGGCCATGGAGGAGCAGAAGGCCCAGCACCAGAATCAGGGTTGTGTGGAGCCCACAGCACCGCCACTTCCTCCTCCCTCACCGCCACCACCAGGGCCACCAGAATACCCCAGACCTCGGCTCATCTTCCACACCCAGCTGGCTCACGGGAGTCCCACAGGCCGCATCCATGGATTCACCAATGTCAAGGAGCTGTACGCCAAGATCGCTGAAGTGTTCAACATCTCCCCCTCAGAGGTACAAATCAAACTCAGCTTTGCGTGTCAGCATGATTTAGCTAAATTGTGACATTTCCAGGTTCATGAGAAATGATCAAGATTAAAAAATGGTGTTATTTCTTTCTTGCATTTCTGCTCAGGCAGGCCAGCTGCAAATAGGTATTAGGTTTCCATTCTAGGCTATTTTCCATGATGCACTATTGAAGATCATTTGGCCGCAGTACTGTCTGCCAGACTTTGTACTCGCCTGCGCCTTGACCAGGATCAATAATGGAAACAAATAAACAGATGATGTTGTGTTGTTCAGCAAACACCAATAGAAGTGGTAGTGACTTTATTGCAAAACAAAACCAGGTGATGAACATTTTTGAAAGTCATTCAGATAACAAAGTAGGGTAAAAAACAAATAACAAGTGCTCAGTTACGTTGGAGCAAATATCCCCCAAATCCTATCCTGTGGTAACAACAATTACTGTACTTAATTTGCCTGTTCCATTGGAAATAATCAAATCCAGAGATTTAGATTTAGATTTAAACATGGGATCCTACGTTTCCCATAATGCAAACATTACACTTTCCATGAGACTCTTCATTCCTTGTGAGTACCCACATCTTTCAAACTCAGTTTGAAATATAAGCTTCCTTTTGTAATGTTGTCAGTCCAAGATAATCCCCTGATGTCATCACAAGGGTTATTTCCTCAGACTAAACAAAGCTTGTCCAAATCCAAAATACATTAAAAAAGCTGTTTCCATAGCCTGACTATAACCCCACATGACTGGTAAACTGACTGTGTGTGTAAAAATAGAGTTCCCATTTCAAAAACCCCAACAAGTAACATTACCGTTAATATCTTAATACAGCATTGATTAAGCTGTAAAAAGTGGCTGAATTTTCTGATTTAGAGACATTCAAAAATAGATTTCAGGCAATCCCTATTTCCGAAATGGTTATCCAACACTGTGGGACTAAACAAAGCAAGATTCAAAGCACTGTAGGGGATCAAAGGTGTGGTCTGAAGTCAGGTTACAGCAGGCAGCTGCGCAAGGCCAGAATCCTTGAAAAGAAGTCTAGTCACTAAACCTTTAGTAGGTCAGGGCTGGCCAAACCACACTGCAGCCTGATACTGCTCTCAGTGCTCAGCACAGCCAAGGCCACAAGCTGTCTCAGGCAGATGGCAAAGAAAGACCTTTCAAAGTCTACACTTTATTTTTGTATTTCAAACGTGACTTTTATTCAGAGCTGCTGGAAGTGGATGCAAAAGTAAATGGTAAAATGGTAACTGGACTGCACTTGTATCGCTCCTTTCTAGCCTTCCGACCACAAACTTTTACACTACATGTCACACTCATCCATTCACACACACATTCACACACACTGGTGGCTGAGGCTATCATACATGGTGCCACTTGGTACTCAGTAACACTGATGGAACAGCCATTAGGAGCAATTTGGGGTTCAGTATAAGTCAGGATAATTGTGGTCATGTACAGTATGCAGCTGTTCTGCATGCTTCTCCTGTATATTATGGTAAGGCAGCAATAAATATTACACATTGGCCTTATCTAATACTTATCAGTAGTGTTATGAAGGCCACCATGAAGGCTTTCCCTATCAGTGTATCACTACCTGTTGGACACGAATGACTGGAGATGAAGGGATATAGACCGATGTGGGAGAGCTAACCTTGATGATCTTATCAGGCACCACCCAGCCTTGGTTGTGTCTTATATTTTGGCCTGTTAAGTTACATAAGATCCAATGTTTAAATGCTACATATCTATTTTAGAAAGACACTGTCAGCTTATGTTCATTAACACAGGATATCACACCATATTTTTTTCATTTCATATTGTTAGCTCTAGCTATTTCCTCACAGCAACGGGATCCTCTGTATCTGCACTCACTGCTGTCTGCATGCTATGTTGTAACTCAGACATTTTTGTACTAACTGAATGAGACACTCTAAATTCCTGTGAATGTGTTTGTCTTCTTATATACTTATGTAAGCCATGCGGTAACTTGGCGGCCTGTTCAGGGTATACTCTGCCAAGTGTGTGCTGGGATAATCTCCAGTGGTCTGGAAGGAATAAACAATTTAGATAACAGTCAGATTGATGACCAATAATAGCAAGTAATGCAAAGGCTTGAGTTTGACATTGTAACATATACATAATGATAAATGGTAAAGATGAATCTTTCAAACCTTGAGACGTTTGAGTTTTTGTCAGTGTAGACTGTCTCTAATTCTAATGCAGAAGACTAGAATAATCAATAAACACGCACCTTTTCTGGTCTTAAATGCTTTAAGACATTAAATTAAATGTTTTATGAGGCATTATTCAAATTATAGCTGATTTAATAGCCTGTATATCAGGACCTTGAACTGCAGCCAATATTCAAGTCACAAGACTTTCTATGGAAAACCTCAAGCAATTAGTCGGTGATAGAAGTACATCAGTTTCCTTGACCTCCTGTGGACTGAACAGCAGCAGCATAAAGTTACAGTACAGCTAGATGTCAAAGATGACCTTGGACTACAGTCAGACTGTTCCGCCCACCAAGACAACTATGATGAGCAATATCTTACAGGAACTGTTCCAAGTACGAGAAAAGTTCACCTGGGTTATCTTTCCGCTATGGATTATAGGTTTATTATAGTCAAACTTGAACTTTAACCTCGGGTTTCAGAATAGACAACAAAAAGACTTCCGCAAAAATGAAAGCTATTCCCAAAACAAGGCAATTACTGTTCTGAACTATAAAAGCAACTATAAAAAGTGTGGGCTGGAGATGTTATCAGAGAGTCACGTGTTTAGTCCGACAATATAAAATGTGCCAATTCTGGTTTTTAAACCACAATTATTCTGACACATACACAGATTAAGTCATATCTGATGACCTCTCGACTTTCAATCAATAATTCAACCACTAACCTTCGAAAACAACCATGATTTTGGCAGAAAACTCCTAAAACAAATAGAAACATGCAATCATATATCCAAATCAAAGAGTGCTGTGACTGACTCTATTGTTAACACTGAAATATACAAATGCTCTGAATGAGTTGCCACATTCATAACTCAACACAAAATGGCCAAGAGCAAAATCAAAGTGTGGCTCTTCTGCCCTCTGCTGGTTAACATCTATACAGCACAACTAAAGGAATTCTTATCGGCTCCATTTGGCTTTGTAATAAAACAGGAGGTAAAAAATAAAACACCAGGAAATGCCAGAGAAACTATAATCACATTTATTGTAGGGAATAGGTAGGCAATTATTGTTGTTTTCCAAAACATAACTCATTCATTTTATAAAAAGTAATTTATAAGGATGATCAAGCAATACATAAACAACTGCATCCACTTGAAATTCTCACTAATTCTTGGGCAATGTTACAGACATTTTTTAAAAGGTAAAACAGTTTACTTTTTTATAACTGAAATGTGCGCTATCAAAGATTAAGGGGCCACTCTGAAATGGTTAATAAAATGTTATTATGTTAATATAATTGTGACCAGAGGGTGAAGACTGGGACCATTTCAGACAGTCATTTTTACAGATTTGACACAAAGGGATAGCAGAAACAAGGTTTCCAAAAAGTGACAATAATGTTTATTAATTATATATACTAAAAACAAGATGTAAAAACATTTTTTGTTGGTGACCATAAAAGCATATATGGCAGTCCTAGGAGAACATAAAACCCAAACAAACAAAAAAAAAATGGCTGTTTATGTTAAGAGGTGAGGGGAACCACAAAGGAGTAACCCACACACCAAAGAAATGGGCTGGAAAAGGCCACATAAAGAGTCCACAGGCTGAGATCAATATAAAGAAGTCCAAAACATAAGTGTAAAAACCAAAAAAGTGCTCCCAAAAAAAAAAAAAAAAAAAAAAAAGGCGCAAAAGAGGCAGCAAGCAAACATTTCAGTCCTAGACTATCATCAGTGCTACTGACGTGTTTTCCAACAGAGATAAAGACAGGCAGGCCCTACCAGGTGTGGCCAATCTATTGATTAATGATATGTGACATATTTGTGAGTACAACTACTATATTCAGAAGCAGTGTTACAAAAGTGATGATTATATAATTCTTGGTAATAAAGAGACCCTACAACAGAGATATTCAAATGTATATAGCCTATGGAAAGAAGATATGTACAGCAACAATAATACTATCACTAAACCATGTGTGTGAATAAAAACCATCTACATAGGTACAGGAGATCCATGCTGGCACATGCAGATTGGGATGGAAAAGGGCCACCTACAGAAAACAAGACAAATTAAGTGTTTCATTAAGGCCTAGAGGCTGTTCAGTTTTAAGGATCCATCTGCTTTCCGACTGAAGGAGTTTTGTTTCAAGGTCTGTGTGTCTACGGCTGGGATTCACTCTATCAGTGCTGCAGAATCTAAGTTCAGTAGCTGGATGTTTAGCTTCCTGGAAATGTCTAGTTACAGGGGATTTAGGATCACCTCTGTGGATGGAGCTTCTGTGTTCATTGATTCTGGTTCTGAGTTTGCAGATACCTATATATTGTAGGCCACATGGACATTAAAGCAGATAAATAACATTAGTAGAGCGACAAGTAATGAATTTCTAAATTTTGTATTGTTTTTAGTGGTGTGGCTAACAAAAGAATTAGCCTTCTTGTGGTTTTGACAAGAAGTGCAGTGACGACAAGGAAAGAAGCCAGTGGGTTTTCGTCAATGCTTCCTCCTTGTCCAGTATGAAAAGAATCTGCATGTACCGGCATATTGCGGATGTTGCGGCTTCTGGAGTGAACAAAAAGAGGCAGATTAGAAAATAGACTTCTTCCCACATCATCAGCAGATAGTATATGCCAGTGTCTAGTTATGATGTCCTTCATTTGTTTACTAATGGGGCTGAAGGTAGTACAACAAACCAGATTGTCAGATCGAGATTTTTTAATGGGTGGACCAGTACAGGTAAAGGAGCGAGCTTTGCATAAAGCTGAGTGTATGTTAAGAACTATTAGTCAGTGGGTGGAGTTGTTGTCCACCAAGCCGGGGGGGATTTAGGGTTAAGACCCATTCAGGCCAATGCAAAAAAAGGAGCGAGGTTACATACACACGAACACAGAGACACACAAAATGTAAGATAAAGTGCAAGGTGAAAACAGCAAAACAACACTCAACCATGCAATAAGAGTGGATAGTTAGGGAGCTAGGCCCCGGCTTGAACAGGCCCCAGCCCTCCCTCACTCACTGTGCTGGCCATCACATGAAAATCTGGCCTACAACACACACAAATGAGAAGCAGTGTCTTTGCAGCCTGAAGATTTACATGGTAAATATATAGAGTACCATGAATGAGCTACTTTCTGGTCCATATCTTCTCTTAGATCCTGTTCTGCACCCTCAACTCTCACAAAGTGGACATGCAGAAGCTGCTGGGGGGACAGATCGGACTGGAAGACTTCATCTTCGCTCACGTCAGAGGGGAGACCAAGGAGGTGGAGGTGACAAAGACAGAAGACGCCTTGGGCCTCACTATCACAGACAATGGAGCCGGATACGCTTTCATCAAGGTGAACAAGTGGCAGGGTTTAACAAGCTGAGCCTTGTCTGTCATCTCAATTTAAATCTAATTGGGAATCTAAGCAGGTGAAAAATGTTAAATGTGTTTCTTTCAGAGGATAAAGGAAGGCAGCACCATAGACCGGCTGAAGACAGTATGTGTTGGTGACCACATCGAGGCCATCAACGACCAGAGCATTGTAGGCTGCCGACACTACGAGGTGGCTAAGATGCTGAAAGAGCAAGCGAGAGGCATACCCTTCACTCTCCGCCTGGTGGGGCCCAAGAAGGCCTTTGGTGAGTGGAAAATATTTCTCTGTGACTGGGGACTGTACGATTAATGCTCAGTAGTCTTTACAAATATTTGGACTAAAATTGTCTGCTAATCAGTGATATTGTGTGGTATAAATCCATTTCTGATTAAACAACAGGATAAAAACCAGCAGAGCAGAGGCACTGACAACCAGGAAGTGCAGGCACTGGAATAAAGATCATGGAAAAACAAACATTTCATTGTTACTGTTAGGTCTCAGCACACGCAGGAAGCAAAGGTGTGTGTTGGCTGGGATTCATAACACTGACTATTAATATCCCAGGTGGCAAAAGCTGCCCCTAGGGTATATTTTTTATGATGGGACTGATCATGCAAGGTAAAGCACCAAGCTGATTCCTCAGGGAGCCTCTCTTAGCCACAGATGGCCACAGTGTTTGACTGATTTCAGCTTTCTCCGGTATGTTTTCATATCTCACGATCCAAACAGAAAACAGAGACAGGAACACTTTAGAGAGTACTAGGCTGTCTGCCAGTGAGCCTGGAAAAGTGCTCAAACTTAGCAGCTACAATTAATTGAGCAGTATTATGGCAGTGGTTATTCAGCCTCGGCCCATAGAATTTTGTGTGACAGTAGATGATTTAAAATGGCTCTGCAAGGATAAATCAATTCAAACTCTGAAAAAACTTGAAGCAAAACATAGAAACAAAATAAATGTCTTTGGTTGTAAGTAAATGCAGCTCTTGTTTACAGAGTGACTGTAATTATTACAGAGAAATAGAACATTGGTAATAGTGCTTTGGAAATCAACTCCTTAAAATGAGCAACTGAAATAAGTTTTCATTTTCAATCAAGTACAGGCAAAATTAAAAAGGCTTAAGGGATTCTTCACAACATCACAACCACCAGAGAAACACAGGGTATTCTTTTCAATAGTTAAACTTTTTTAAGCTAACAATTTAACTCCAGGCATAAAACATATGAAACAAAAGCAAAGCAAACCTTTTATAGGAATACATAAACAATCTGGAAGCACCCCTCCACACACACAAATTTATACCTCTATGAGTCTACCTTAATTTTAACTTAAACAAGTCCATACCCATTGGTAGCTTTGTCACCTTCTACCTATGCCAATCCTCAATGCCTATGTGCAGTTTCACATAGATTGACAACGTCAGTGAGTAGAAAAATGTGGGACAGACAGAATGACTGACTGACAAAATGACATACTGACAGTTTCCGTGATTATGTACAGCATACCATACCATGACTTAGTCATACCAAAAATTAGAAAGAACAACAACATTGGGCCACAGGGGGAGCCACAGCGATCGGTCGCATTTTAGCCATTTTTAAGCATTTTTCTGTTGTTACAGCGCCACCCAGTTGCCAATTAGAGTTACATTTCTCCAGTCACCTTGAGGCGTCCTGTTCTACATATCTACCAAGTTTAGTAAAAATCAATATAGCGGTTAGGCCTAGATAAGAAATTAGCTCTCTAGCACCCCCATTTTGTTTGATGGGGTCAATAATGGAGGGGTCCCCTCAGATTATGTGTGGTCATATGCCTACAAAGTTGTGTGGTGATCGGTGAAACCCTTGAGATGTTATACACCTTTATGTGATGAGCCACGCCCTCCGCAATATTCATTGCCTTATAGAAGCTCAGTTTTAGTGAGTTTTCCAACTTTTGCCAAGAGGGAACTTTAGATATTGGTCCCTAGATTATGTTCACCCAGTTTCATGCAGATCGGTCAAACTTCCTAGGGAGAGATCGATTTGAAGTGTTTTTCAAAAAATTCAAAATGGCGGGAAATCTATATAACCAGAAGTTATGGGTTCTTGAGGCAAATTTGTTGCTCATGAGGAGAGGCATCTCTGTGCAAAGTTTCATGTCTCTACGACATACGGGGCATGAGATATGCCCATTCAAAGTTTGCAATTTCAATCGGTTGCTATAGCGCCCCCCTTTGGCCAATTGATGTAATATTGCTTCATTGGCATCCTCCCATAACCCTCTACCACTGTGCCAGATTTCACATGGATTGACCAAGTCAGTGAGGAGAAAAACCTGGAACAGACGCACACACAGACAGACGGAGTTTTCGTCATTATAGTGTAAGAAGATCCAGTTCCAAATCCACTGCTAAAAATGTCTCAACCGCTTAAAAACCTGTCCAGAATGTCCTCACAAATATGGTACAGGAGCACACACACACACACACCCACACACACACACACACACACACACATTTATACTATTGTGCTTGTCAGAACATTGTATGGACTTAAAATTGGTCACTCTAACCTCACCAGTTACTGCAACATTTGTAACCCCAACATTCAACTTACCTTTAACCCCCAAATAAAGTCCCCAAAATAAACAATCAACCTTATAACAGTGTGAATAATGTGTCATCTAATGTGACACACACACACACACACACACACACACACACACAGAAAGAGAGAGAGAGAGCATAGTGCCTCTCTTTTCATACGCTTTGCAGTCACACAGAGGACAGCGCCAAACTGTACTGTAAATATTTGATCCACATATACTTGTTGTACTCTCTTCGTTGCTAGAGAGCCTGGACAGCACCTCCGTACACATTTCAGCTATTAATCTGCCAGGAATTAAAATGGATAAACAAATTCATTGGGTTACAGCGACTTGAACTTTTAGCAAAACCTTGGCTTTGCTTCTTTCTCTGACTTCTGCTGTATTTATTATTGTGTTTAAATTACATATTTATATTGTAAGTCACACTGGGAAAAGATAAGTTTAGTTAAGTTTATTTAATATTTTTAAACAAAATATTAGATGACATCACCTGATATCTGCCTTCTGCGGATGACCGAATTCTGCTCTTTTCATGCACTTTGAACCTGTGACCTTTTTTTGTTTCGGTAAAAACATAAGGGCGTCCTTTTCCCTATTCTCTTTTCCCTTCCAAGATGTGTTTTACCTGTCAAAAGTACAATAAGAGGCTTATTTATTGCATTTGCTTTGCAACAGAGGTCCCCTTATAATGTGAATATAGCAGTCTAGGCTGGAGCCCAACTGTCCACAACCTCATATCAGACAGGAAACCAAATCCATGGTCAAAGTGCCAATTTCCTGTGAACAAATAGTATTTCTATTGTCACCATGTACTGTTGTTACTGAAAGATAGCAAAGTAGTTGACAAATCAATCTCAACTCTGGAGCTTTGGACTGGCCTTCATTTGCAGATTGACTTTGCTAAGTTGTCATGGATGTTTAGATATGTATATATTATCAAACCACAACCTGGTTTTGGAGGTAACATCAGGGTAAAATGTCCTCAGGCATGCAATAGCTCTGTGTACAGTCAAACAGGAGTCACAGTTTAGTATCTGGTTGAAGTGATAAGCAGAGCAGTTAAACACGTCCCCTCATTTCGCTGTATAAACCTGCCAGTCACCATTATCATGGGTATGTAATGAATCTCTTAATAATTGTTGTAACACACACACACACACACACACACACACACACACACAATGGCTGAGAGCCAAATCCTCATATGATGGATCACATTTCATGTGTAAAATGATTTATTACACTAATTAGAATGTAACAGAGCTGGGACTTCATTATGGCCCTAAATGTCAGAAATATTAGAGAGAGAATATTAGGTGGTGCACAGAGTGAGAGTAATTCACATTGGCAATTACAGATTGAAAGGAAAAATATTTTTATTGTCTCCAACAATTTAAATGCAGTTGTACACACAGTCAAACTGCACATGTTAAAAAAATATCATCCTTGTGACAAACCTTTTAACCTATGATTTATAAAGGCATGAGAGTTGGCATGAGTTAATACTTGGATGAATTATTATTTCCAACTAAACTTTTACTTTTAAACGATGCCACAGCACATGAACTTACTGTGTTTGTAACCAAGGTGGCAGAAATTCATAAGTAACAACTGCAAGTCTCAATTATAAATGCAGATGTGAAAGTGGCCCATAAAGTTCAATTCCAATGAGCTGTATGTTTGAGCATTGGGTCTGATATCACTATTCTACTGTATTGAAATTATCTTATTTAAAAGAGGAAATACAGTAATTTCAATGTCATATTTCAAGGTCAAATAATGAAACTTTTCAGGGGACAAACAGCCGTCGCTTCCTGAGTTTTAGTCACACACACTGTCAGCATGACGTAGCCGATGCTGACCTCTGACATCCCTCAGGAAAGAGTTTAATTCCCTTTTGTGATCAGTGACATATCATATGGAAAACAGATGCGCATCGTTTCACAGACCCTGGAGTGTGTGTGTTAAAAATAACTACTTGAGAAACTAGGTTGAGCATTCAACATGTCATAACGAAACTATGAGCTAGGATGACTATCAGTTTTGGTCTGTACCAAATTTTATCGATCCATTTTAATAGTTGTTAAGACATTTTACTCATAAACAACAATTAGTATATTATGGTGGCAGCTGTGTCCGTGTAATAGATGCTGAGCTATTTCATTGTATGTGAAGGCTTTGAGCTGGCACCAGAAGAAATGGACAATGGTTCATTAAAGTCAGTAAGACTCTTCCTCCTATACTTCATTTTGGATTTAAGTAGTGAAGCGACTGACCAACAGAATGACAATAGCAATAAGTATACGATGCTGTGGCAATATTTTCTTGTAATATCAACTTGAGTATTAACAAAAAAATGAGGCTTGTCAGTTAAATAGATAGAAGATTAAATGGAAAATGGAAATCCACGATTCACATAAACTCCATAAAGAACTGCTTTTACTGGAACTTTGGAAACACAATAATAATGAATATACATGATTGGCATCAACACTGTTCTCTGTGTGGATGGGACACAACACCACAACAAACTACACATTGAAATTTGATTTTATTTTGCTCACAGGCAGCATGCCTCTATAAAAATGATTTCTCATTTCATCACACACCAAGTATTGGTTATTAAAACAATACCTCATGCTCTAAAACTAGCAGCAGTGGCTGGGTGTCCTCAGGTAAACTCAGGATGCCTGTTATAAATTATATATTAGTTAAAATGAGTTGAATGCTTTGTCATTTGTGAGGCAAGAAGTTCACATCAGGACAGAGGAATGTGAACCACAGTGTGATGCTTAGTCTTTCTCTTTCCTAGGAAATATGTGCTGTGTTAAAAGGGGTTTGGTTTCTACTTGACAGAGGGACACCATAGTTAGCAGTGAGAGATATCAGTGGTTAAACAAACAAACTCAATCTTTAAAAAAATCCAAAGTGAAAGGACACCATGTCACAGCTAAAGAAATAAATAAGAATCCCACATCTCTTTAACTGATTAATGGCTAGCATCTTGTTTGTTTGTGTGTGTGTGTGTGTGTGTGTGTGTGTGTGTGTGTGTGTGTGTGCATGTGTGATTGTGTGGTTAGACATGATTGGGATGAGGACCAGAGCTCCAAAATCTAACGAGGGCAAGATGGTGAATGGCAGGGAGACGCTGCGTCTTCGCTCGAAGGGGGCTGCTACAGTTCAGGAAGTGGTGAGTTTCACACGCTCTGCTGGACAATGACTTCTTAACTTCGTCGTGTACTCAGTTAATGACATGTATACACACACACACACACACACACACACACACACACTGAACTGAACTAAAAAAAAAACACTTGACTCTGGTCACACATAAACTAACAATCACACATACACAGTCACACAGTACGTGTTATTCCCCAGCAATGTCTCTTACTTACTTTCCACACTTCTGCTATGATGTGAATCCACAGATCATATCACTTGGGGAAAGTCTGGAAGCAAAAAGGTCCACATTTTAAGTCACAAATATAAAACAATTGGTGAACACCTTCCAGTCATACTCGATTTAATCTAAAATCTTTGCTATATCTATATAACATAAAGATAAGTGATGAACAATAGCCTGAGATATTTGGCTCTTGCATGTTTTGGCACGAGCAATTCTGCTCTCACAGAGTTTGTATCACCATATTTAGAGCGTGAACACAACTAAATTTCCCCGGACACTTCTGTATTTTTCCTCTCCACTCCGCCAGCAGAACGAGTTTGAAGAACAGGCCACCAAAAAAGTGGACGACCTGCTGGAGAGCTACATGGGTATCAGAGATCTGGAGCTGGGTAAGACCACCCACGTAACACTTGGGGGCCTTAAAATAGACCTCACCTTTGGGTTGATGTTTGAATATACGAATGTGAACTGTTGCTGAACTGATGTTCACACAGAGATCCGAGAGTCAGTGGGGTTTACTGTGAGCTGTACTAGACTGGCAAACCACCGCACTCACTGTCTACTCTGGCATGCTGAGAAAGGCCAGCCAACTTCAGCCCTGCGCCTGATTAAGGGAAAATTCCTCCTCAGAATTTATACTTGCCCCAAATAGTTTATAATGATGAAACGCATCTCTAGGGAGCTGTTATGTATATTCTCATATGTGCTGTAATTTAGTATTTTTTTTTAACTTATTTTCCCTCAACTTTTTGGATCATGGAGTTCATGTATTTTGTGTGACTCTTCATCATTCTGTGCTTTGTGTTGGACCTTGAGTCAAGATGTTGCCATTTGTCAAGGTCAAGAATACTTTCTACACTCAGCATCAATGGTATAAGCAGACATAAAAGCAATTGGCAGCATCATCACTAAAAAAGAATTAAAGTAAAAGAAGAGAGGCTTCTCAATGCTCAACGTCCTGGGATGAATCAAGAATTTGGATGACATGCGTACTTAAAATTGCAGATACAAGTTTGCCCTTTCCCAGACTTCCAAGGCCAATGGCCTGATTTCCAGATGGATGTTTGGCTGTTTGGACCTCATTTGAAATGAGTTTATGATTTTTTAATATGCTCGCCTGCCTGTTTTATGCTTGGAATTTACCCTATGAACTTTGGTTGGTTGCATACTTTGACCCAAATATTTTTGAGGTTGGAAGGTTATTTCCAATACAATGGAGGGAAAAATACTTGAAAAAATATGATTCACTCTTATAGACAGTTTGTTTAGAGAGACAAAACAACGTTGCTAACAAATGTCTGTTGGTGACCTAATGCAACAACACTCAGCTATATGTAATGTGTCAGTGGGGATCCAAGCCATTCATTTACTCATATACCTGCAGGCACATGGAAATCTAGCTGCCATACAAACCCTTTTTGAGGTCCCGTTGTCTGGATACACATGTACATACGGTGATAGTATTGATTACCACTGCGAAAGTTGTGGATGGTACCAATGGAACCATTCCGTACTGTTCCCATTTTTGGTCCCCCCTCTGTTCGGGTACCTAGCACACAGATCTGGTGCTAAAAGGTGGAGCTGTGAACACTGCAGTCCGTTGACTGGTCAATAGCAGACGGTCATCCTGCTCAGGGGTGAGCTGTGGCTGGTTTTGAGGCTCATGTGACCACTGTTCATACCATGGAGAGTTTTATTAGTAGACTGTAACTATAAAATGAAAGGATGTTTTGCTGCCTCTCGCAGCAGCTGGAGTTGGAGTAAAAAAATAACTCAGCGGGCCGACTACCAGCAACTTTTAAGGTGGTACGTTAACCTGCAATGTTACTCAGTGCATAAGGTGATGACGTGACTCAATCAACACACCTTAAATATTCCATATGACAACTTTGACCATCACTTTAGCTTTTATATGACATACACTTTTAGTAATGAGTGGATCTAAAAGCATTTATATATATTAATTTCGGGCTCCAGCAACACTAAACCCCTGAGCTTGCCTGAGAAAGACTATATGCACAAAGCTGCTATTTTTAAATATCCCATGGAGAGAGACTCTCACTGCAGCCTGTTTTATTTTGTTCCGAAAATGTTGGCATTCAACCTTGTTCTGTGGATGATTAACGAAATGCTAGGGTCTAGGTACCATGTCTGAAGGGTTACTTTTGGTTCCAAAGATACCATACCGAAAGTGTTTGGCGGAAATGGGGCTTTAAATAGTCTGGCAGTGTGTTAAACGTGGGGATTACATTTTGCCTGCTGATTAACTGATTTGGTTTGCTATGTCATTCAAATATCAACATAACATTAAGATACACAGTGTTTTTGGTGGGAGATTTTGAATGTGGGTATTTCCTGTGCATAAAGAAGTTGGCCGTGCCCATTTTAATCTATGTTAAGTTTCATGTTTGTTAAAGCCCTAATGCAAAAATATTCCACATAAAGTAGATACTAAAAGTTATGGTCTATGGTACTCACACATAGGCTATATTTGAGTGTCCCAACAAAGTATATTAATGATCAAGAGTATATTAACCGATACTATCAGTGGCAGCAGTTCATAAACACAGTGACATCATTGAGGTTCCCAAATCCCCAGACCCATCCTGGCAAATCACCAATGTATTCATCATTGTATAAGATTGAAATATTGTTTGGCTTGTAAATCACATGATTAACTGGCATACTTCATGACTCTAAGGACCAGAATAGTACGTCTAAATAACTCTGTCTGTGCTTGGTGTTTATGCTTAGGCTGCAGAGAAAGAAAATATACTTGCTACAGTCAGAAACTACCAGCATTTGGCTGTAGTTAATCCTGTCCCTTCCTCTCCACAGCAACCACCATCGTGGAAGCGGGCAAAGACAAGAAGAACCCTGATGACTTTGCCGAGGCCTTGGACTCCGTTCTGGGAGATTTTGCTTTCCCTGATGTGTTTTTGTTTGATGTATGGGGAGCTATTGGAGACGTCAAGAATGGTAGAATGTAGACATTACCATATGCACAACATTGAGAGCGAGCTCTGTTCCCTGGTACATCCTACTGGGAAAAATGTATAGAAGGGACTTATTAATTATTAATTAACAAATTTAATTCAACCATTTCCCTTTGAACAGTCAAATGACAACAAATTGCCCATAAACAGATCATCACTCTTAATGTTTTCCTGCAATTTGACAAAATTTACCAATAAACACAAAACACAGACATTTGCAGTAGTTCTTAAATGCATTTGGACTAAAAAACAAAAAAAATTGAACTGAACCACAACTGTGTGTCGCTGATGATCTTGTTTAGAAAAAAGTGACAGTAAAATGTGTTGGTTCACATAAATACATACTTACTTCCATTTTGATTAAAGATAAAAGTTTATTAAATGTTATAAGGGCTCTCTTACCATACATATAGACCACTGTGTATAGGATATGTAAACAATGTGTCAGGAAACACAACTGCAAAACAGCGGACAATCAGCCAGCCATCTAGGAATTAAGGAAGTGAGATAAGCTACAGTTGGTGTTTTTCCTCTGATGAAGGACAACTGGGGTAAACAGGAGAGGAATGGTGAGAACGTATTTGTCTAGTTCTCCATGACCAATAACCTACACAGGCTAGAGATCTACGTGCATTATCTTTAAGTTATAATATGTTTTCACACAGGCTGTTACTATATTTATATAGAACTGGTTTACTCTATTGAAATAACCAATTTAAATATTTTCAGTCCTCAGGAAGTGACTGATCTAAACTTACAAAAAAAAATCTATTTTAAGACATTAATCAAATTCGTCATCTGGAAATGGGATCATCTGGGGAAGAAGGTCAAAGGGACGATCTCCAGCTGATGGCACTGTCCTGCAATTTCCCATATGATGGTGACTGGCAACTAAGCCCATATTTCCCACAATAAAAAAATCCCAAACAAATTAAGCTAGCTTGTTTGCGTGTAAACCATTTCCTTGGAGTTCCCTGCTGCGATGTTGCCTGAAAAAAATGAAGGTCTTCATGCCCACTAATATTAAAGTAACTTTTCACTTGCTTCCACTTTTGCCATAAGCTTACAGGAAACGTTTCTGGTTTGTTTCAATAAGAGAATGTAAATACTTGACCAGTTTGTTGCAGTCTTTATTCTTCAGTATCAATATGCTGCTCTCTCTGTCTGTCTCTGCATTGAAGAATCTTTACTGTAAGAAGAAGGGAGCATCAAACCATGTGTTGACTCAACTCAACTTCACTCAGTATTTTTCTGATTGTGATGCTGTCTTTAATCTCTTTGTATATGACTGCGCCTCTTTGTGAAGACCTGAAAATGTATGGCACATTTCACATGTTTAAATTTTAAGTAAAACAGTTGAAACCACAGTTGTTAAGCCTGTCTCTCTGTGTGTGTTTAACAGAAAAGCCAATTTAAAAGATTTAAAGGTGTTTTTGCAAATTCTTTATTTATATGTACAATCACATGCCATTTCTGTAAAGCACATTCAACATTTACACTTCATTTTAGAGGATGCTGCTGCTCAGGAGTTAAAGTAAAACACATCTTACCTATTACCAATGACCGTGCCAGTGATTTGCTTAACTGAGTGACATTTTGACCGGTATGACTGATATTACAATGTTGAAAACAGATAAATATGAATAGTTGGGTGACTGAGTGATCAAGAAGAGCAAAAGATGACTGTTTCAGTTTTTTTTTTGTTTTTGTTTTTTTTTTACAATAAATTATAATCTCATTATAATATCATAATGCAAATGTATATTAAAATAGCTACATCACAATGTTTGTCATTACACTGCTAAAATGATCAGGCTGAACTCAATTATCCAACAACTAAATCATCCCCCAATGAATCCTTGCACTGTTATAGTAGGCTACACACCTTGAAGTCAAAAGTCAAGTAAGACAACTGAGTAAACCTGATTTTAAATGGTCAGTTCACCCAATTTCCCCCAATTTTAACCTTACTTACAATAACCTTCTGCACCTTTTCCTCACTTATAGAAATGTTGTTGAAAGTTTTAAATGTAATTTTCCATCAGTCTGAGCAGCACAAATTCCTTTCACCTTAAATGCAGAAATGTCAGAGGTTAATATCTCAAAATCTTGGCAATTACAACATACAGCTACCTTCATGGCTAAATACTGATGTACAAAGTGATTTTGCCAAGTAGGACATGCTCCTGGATCAACAATGCTGCACCTGTGCTTTATCTTTTTGTTTTCAAAATTCCTTTCTTCTGAGCTAAGTTTTCAAAATTGAAGTTAGTACAATTGAACAAAAGGCTCAGTAACACTGAACAAAATCCTTACAAGCCACTGCAGGATCAGCAAGTAAGCTTGCTAACGAGGCAGGCTATGCTAATGAGTAAACTTGCCAATAGGCTACAATTTTAGCAGTTAGCTTGCTAACCAGGCAGGCTATGCTAACAAGTAAACTTGCCAATAAGCTTGAATTATTGTTAATTAACAAAGATTAAGGATAATACTGGTTGGTCACAATGTCGGTCCAGGGACGCAACATGGGATGTTGATCCAGGAACATGTACTATTCGCAAAATCACTTTGCAAGCAACAATAGTGGTATGTGAGAAAACATATGTTTTTGGATATGGTTGATCTGATAGTTTGAGATGGGAGAGTCTGACATTAATAACCACACCAGTGACACAGTGAGGAACCAGTAAAGTGGTAAAATTACTTATCAAGTACTATATACATAACACTGTCAAGGATGCTAATCTTAAATCTTCATTTTACAATTACAGTTACATGTTCTCAGATCTTTATATCAGTAACACTAAATAGCTAATGTCAGGCATTGTTTTTTTTTTTTATTTATCAGGGCACTCAAGCTACTTATGCAAATATGACCTTTCATGCTGTGTAATACATCTCAAGTTAATCCACCTTATTTTTCACGGAAACACGGAGGCAAAACAGAACGCAGCCAGCTTCCGTTTTTTTGTGCGACATTTCGGTCCAGCACTCTTGACCACTGTGTAAATGGGAATCGCCTTGTTGTTTACCTTGCTGAGTTTAGCTATATATATGTATATATCACATTTTTCATGTCACTATATCACCGTTTCGACTAATCTGGTGTTTGTAAAGTCTATAAACACAATGACTGAACAAACATTAGTATTTTCTCTGTGTGTAATTAATAACATGGTTATCGTAGATTAGCTGGGCTAACCGTTAGCTGTTAGCCGTTAGCCGTGTCTGTAATAACTCACTAAACTCACAAAGTGGCCCGTGAAAAAAATATTTTCTCCAGCGGATGTCTTAGTTACAACATGATTGAGCTAACTGGAGTAGTTTCATGTCGTATCCAACAACGGGAGGCTTTTAACGGATGACGATCCTGGTGTTAGCTTTGCTGCTAGTGTTAACGTTAGCTGTCCCTGTCAGCTGCAGCCACTGATGCTTTCTAGACATCGTGATTTCCCAAAACTGAATAAATACCACACATAGCAACACAAAACTGCTTTGCTAGCTCAATCATGTTGTAACGGCTGGATGATGCGTACATGCTGATTCGGTTGCTATCAGAGCCGATCCGCGCATCACTATGGCTTAATGATCAACTCAGTCAATTAAAACAACCCGTCCTGTGTTAGGAGTGTATGTCGCTGACAGAGAGAAAGAAAGAAAGAAAGAAAGAAAGAAAAGATAGAAAAGCAGCGTACACCTCACATATTTATTTCTCACAGTTGCGCACTCGTTTGGCTGGCATGCAGAAGCACCGTCTGTGTGTCGAGGGTGCGAGCCGCAGCTTCAGCTGCTCAGGTAGAGAGGCTTAGCCCGGTGTGTTTTTTCACTGATTTGGTTCTGCAGGTTCTCTGCTGGTACACTGGAGACGGGGATCAAGCAGTTTGTCTCACTCGGGATAGATTGTGCTTTTTTGGTTCATAGTTTATGATTGACGTGCGATTTATTCGCGTTTAGAGGGAATAAATTTCCATTATAACGGAAATGTGGGCACAGTTATCTATACAAAATACACAGACTAACTAACTAACTAACTAATTAACTAACTGATTGACTAACATAAACAACTGAAAATTGAAAAAAAATTAGCTTGCACCGTTAGCTCCGGTAAGGGAAAGCATGAGGGAAAGCGGCTGACCGGAAGTCACGCACAAAAAAACGGAAGTTGATCACTATTTACTTCCGTGTTTGAAAATAAGGTGGATACTGCTACATTTTTCTTAAGTTGGTAGTGGAAAAGACTGTTCTACCACTGACACATAAACGTTGTATTTTCTGGGTCTGCGTAAATAGTCACAATTTAATTTGCTACAACAGTGACATTCTCATTGGCATCCACTTCCTTTAACTTTTTGTTTTATTCCTCAGCCAAACGTGCCCATTAATGACATGCATGAGGACTGAACCCGAGGGTCCATTCCAGGGATTCTAAAAAAGTTAATGACTGATCATTTCAAGGTCTTGAAAGTTTGGTTTAGGTAGCATGCATCATCAAAACAGTGACAAACTCCATGCATTGTCAGGTACTGTATAAACTCTTGGAGTGGAGATTATAAAGGAAGTCTCGGGCAGTCTAAGCTATATTCTATTTTAGTCAAAGCATCTTCACCTTTAAGCATCTCTACAATTTGGACAATAGGATTGTGTGATGCTACTGTTGCACAGTTACTGTATCTTCAACAGGTAAGATCTTTAAATAATTAAAGGTATTTTCAGAAAGGGAACAACAAAAGAACAGTACTTATCATGAGCCTTAAAAAACAGTTATATATATATATATATATAAATAATATAATTCTTTGTGGGTCTAATATGACACTCATGAGCACCTGAGCAAAGTGTAAATGAGCTTAAAAGCATAATGTCCTGCCAGAATGAAGTGTCATATTAAAACTATCACCTGAATGACCATAAGTGCGCCTATCCATTGTGAAAAGCTGTTAAAACTCAAATATCATGAAAGCACTTGATGGAGCAGTACATGTAGACAGAGCAGTGTATGTAGATAGCTTGAATTCTGTTTTAGCTGACAGCAGTGCACTGTAGAGTGGTTGCAGGTGTGATCCATAAGTGTCCAACCAGACCCTGCTCTCTCTTTCACGTGCCTAAATTTATGTGTCATTGTTAATACTGTTAAACATTTCAGTGGTATGCAATAAAATAACAAGATTCAATCCTTCCAGATTACCAGTGCAATCCTGCTTCTTATCCTGGTCACAGTTAACACGAAACTCATCAGAGCTTGGAAACAGTCAAACACATACTGCAACACTCAGTCTGATGCAACATATCAAATCCAAGCAATCACGGAGAAAGAGGTGGTGGCTTCAGTGTAGATTGAGTTGTTACGTTTGATTTCTCTGTCTCTCCTGTTTCTTCTTGGCTCAGGGTGCTCCCGATTGAAGAGCGTGTGAACCTTCGGATGGTTTCGCCTAAAGACGGGTACATGGTCATGATGGAGCTCCGAGACCAGTCGAAGCGGGGGTAGATTCTCTTGAGAACTGCCCTTCGAAACAGGATGTATACCCAGGGATCGAGGATCTGGTTCCAGGTGGCGAAGCGTACCCATAGCAGCAGGTGTCTGATCTGGAGGGGACCTCCGGACAGCACCGTTTGCGCAATAAAGACCTGTTGGTGGAGGGACAGAAGTGGGGATAAGGACGAAGGAAAGAGGGGGCAAAGGGGAAAAGACACAGATTACAACAGACAGCAAATTACAGTTGAAAGAAGTGGGAAGGAGAGATTAGAAAGTAAGGAACAAGAAGGGAAATATTAAATTGGTTAATAGTGCAGATGCACACAGACACACACATACGTGTTAAGTCCACTGAGGGAATGGCTAGACTAATTTTGCCATGTCCATTCTGAGGCTTCTGGCTGCTGCAACACAATTATCCCCCCTGCTTTACTTAAGCTACAGCATTTTATGTGAGGCGTAGCCTTATTAGCATCAGGTCACCAGTCTCTTGTGGGGGAAAAACATGCTAACAAGCTCCTTAAGAAAGGACAAATTGGCTTATTGTTGTCTCTATTCCAAATTCAGCTAGTGACAAAAAACTGTTCAAGTGTGGTTTACACCCTAGCAGTGTTAAGGAAACCGCTACATAAATCCACTTCATCATGTTAAAAAAAACTGTTGCATGCAAGTGTTGAGATGAAGTGCAAACCATAGTTTTAGTTTTATGCAAACTTTTCTCAGAGGCAGAGTTGCTCCAGAGACTGAAACAGGGTCACACTTTTCTGGTGACTTAAGTTTTCACAGAAGGTGGCATTTGTGATCTTGCTTACTGGCAACAGGCTATTTCAAGCTCGGTAAGTTACTGTAGCAAGGTTGCATCACATTTACTAAGCCTGAACAACAACTCTTGATGTTTAACTCTTATCTGTAGGATTTTTTGCAGCTCTGCTTCAAAGAAATGCTTGAGTAACTAAACAAAACTACAATCTGCAGATGGTTAAGCTATCAGGTTTTTGATGAAAAGCCATCTGTGTTAGTTTCAGGGAATGAAAGCAGGCGCAAGGGCAATAAACAAACTTGACAAAGGGCTGAAACTATTTAAGTGAGGTTTTTATTTACAGATTAGGAATGGAATGAAGTGCACAGAGCAGCAGCAAAACCAGGATGAGACGCTGGCTGCACTGCAAAACATGCTCCCAATGATACTTTGAGCTTATGGGTTATGGTTATAAGCTTCAAGGTATCAAGTAAACAGTGTTACCACGGATCCATCCATGAGTTTTATTGGTAGGTGTTGAGGACATGCTGAAGTAGCCGGAAAACCACAGCCCAAAGTTACGATGGGGGTGAGCAGTTACTGTGGGGAAGCCGTGTTATTGTAATGTTTCGATGTTTTGGATTTACTTTTTACTCGCCTTAGTCGCGACACTTGACACATGATGTATATCCAGGGGTCAAATATCTGATTGCAGGTGGCCATTCGTATGTAGAACAAAATAATGTCATCTCTTACAGGATCAGCAGTCACCACGCTCATCAGAATATATATCTGTGCAGGGTGTTACACAACTGAGGTCAGACAGGACTGCAAGAAAATATGTTCTCCACTTAGGTAGCTTTGGCCCTTGTTTTACTTTCCCTGGTGTGCTTTAAGTATGTTTAGAACTGAAGCTCTGAATTGGCAACACCTAGTGGTTCCATCACAGATGACAGTGTGATAGATGGCAGTTCATGCTGGGCTGAAAGCAACGCTGCACCACTTTTCTCCAGGATAGTCTCATTTTATATTAACACACACTTTACCATGAGAAAACTGAAAGGTGCACACAACAAATATACACATAGGGCTATAAAGTTTATGGTATTATTTTAAACACAAACCCATATGTCATGATCTCTTGACATGATCGTCAGCTGTTATCAAAAAGCACTCTGTCTCCAATCAATCAGTGTTTTGATCAAGACACAAGTGAAAAGGGGACAAATAAGAGAGAATCATGGATGGAGATTAAAGAAATATTTCACCCCCCAAATGACCGTATCAATCACTCATCCTGTGTTAATGTTTTTCTTGCATGAATTCAAAAACTGAGAAAATTCTTGATGCACTTAAGTCCTAGGGGACCATGTTTAACAGCACTCACTCACACACAGCTCATGCAGTACAAGTCTCATTTAACCAGTTGTACGTTCAGTGCTTTCTAAACACATGTTTGCATTTTTGCTAAAACCTGAAAATTAAATTTATCTACGCTCTCTTCAAAGCCAGACTCCATTGACAAAAATAGTAATTTTATGTGGCTAAACAAGGGAGCTGCAAGTGTACCACTGCCTCGATCGGTAGTTTGTTTGTGTTTGTTTGGGCCAGGAAGGGCTGGTTCAGTGACAGACTGTCAGCAAAGCGTCGCTAAGGTCTATGAGTCAGATCCTAACTTATTTCCTCCACAGATCTACCCTTTCAACCAAATACGGTCACCTCTGGCTCTGAAAACGTAAGATGACGATGGCCGAAATACCAGACTTGAGGCTTAGAAACAGGAGTCCACAAACCAACGAGTGACATCACTGTAGCTATGTCCATATTTTTATACTGTATATGGTTATTTCGAAGTCACACAGAAACACAAACTACAGCTCAAGGCAGAGGTACACATGCAGCTCTCCTGTTTAGCCACATAAAATTACTGTTTTTGTCAGTGGAGTCTGGCTTTGAAGAGAGCATAGATACGTTTCATTATCAGTTCAGTTTTAAATAGTTTTAGTAAAAATGCATGTGTTTGAGAAGCACTGAGCATACCACTGGATAAATGAGACTTGGATTACACTGCACTACTTGTGTGTAAGTTTGCAAACAGATGCTTGGATTCAGTTTTGATTTCCTCCATATTTGGATTCTTCATCCACCAGGGGCATGCAAGAAAAACATTTTCTTTACGAATTCAACATAAAGCAGAGTAAGCACTTGATATACAAATGGTCATATAAAGTATTCCTTTAAGTAGGTTGGAGTAAATTCTTCAGGTTGCTTCTACATTTATGACCTTGATACTAATCCTCCAGCAGAACAATTAAGAGATTACGCTCAGGAAGGACAGCAGTTTATTATATAACTTGGGCTTTTATTTTTGTAGCTTGTCTTATCGGTTATCATAACATCTCATTTAGGACTGTAATTGCTGAGATCTCAGAGTGTAGCAACATCCTAAAAATAGGTGAAATTATATCAGATGTTTATGCAGGCTGTGAAAAAGTCAACAGTTTCGCATAACTAGCTACGGCCATAATGTTGCTAGTAATCCTTCATTACAAAGAAATACCATGATTGCACACAACTGCAATAACTGCAGTAGGTCAGAAAGACACGCTGTAGAGATGTTTACACTAGACTGTTCTTCCTTTGCCTTTATTTTCTGGCCCAATAAATTTGGCAAACCAAGGGGTTCATTTTCAACCTTTACGGCCATTGGACCTATTTATAGTGATGTTGCCAAAGTAAAGTCCCCGTTGTAATAAAGTGGACTTTTACCTTTTAAAGGCACTGATTTCACCTGTGCTCTAAGGCCGAGATGTCTCATCTTAGCAAAGGCGTAAAGGAACTCTGATCTGAGGTAAGATCAGAGGGCTTTCAGCTCAACTAGTTAGGAAGCTGCATTGCTAAGGAGAAATGAAGCATACAGAGGGGAAGCGGAGAAAAGTAGCTTAGGACTATCTGGTGCCTTATTATGGTTCAAACAACTGAAGGGCAGTGCAGATAAGAACAAGAGCTGGATAGAAAGGGTCTGGGTTGGGTGCTGTCCAATACCCGAGAGACCTATAATTCGGTGGACAGCGTTCAGTATATGCATATAAGGAGACATATGGAGGCAAAGAAGGGATGGTGTTTTGTGGATATCTCTCTAGTGGACAGTTGCATTCAAAGACATTAAAAGTCAAATACTAAACATGTGCAAAATGTTAGGACACACTTTGGAAAATGCAAAGATCGAGTCAACAGATATTCCTCTTCTGCCTGCAGCCAAAGAAGGGACATTTGCCCATGGGTCTTATCAGTACATAACACACATTGTCACAGACCAGAGGCTACAGTTAGAGAGGCCCATACTATTCACACAGATTGAAACAGGGTCATTGATATTGAATTCAGTAGGAAAACATCAGGCAACATCTGCATCAAACTTAAAAAAAACTTTCCATGTTTCAGTGCAAAGATACGCTGAGATAAAGTGGGACTACAACAGGGAAGAGTATGAAGTGTACTTTTCAACTTGGGTTTACCATTTTTCATAAAACTGGACTTCAACATATCAGATGTTTGACTATTTATAATGGGCAAACTCACCAGGAGGGGGCACCAGCAGATTGAAGCGATGACCATGATGAGGATAAGCTGAACCATCATCTCTACCTCGTGGTCTCGACGACGCTGGGTCCCACCCTTTCCGCAGCACACCTTGATCAGGGTCACAACACTCACCGTGTTCAGCAAAAATGACACAGCGATGCACGTCAACCCGACCAGAGAGAAGAGGAGGGAGAAAACCATGTTATATCCCTCATAGCTGATGTTGAAAAAACACCAGGAGCCAGGCATCTGCATGTGGTAGCTCCCAACACCTGTTAGGGGCAGCAAAGCTATACAACCAGCGATCAACCACACCATGAGCACCATGGTGACTGTCCGGCACTTGGGCATGCTGGTGGAGCGTGCAAATGGGCAGTTGATGCCAATAAAGCGCTCCACCGCCATGGTGGCACCAAGCAGCAGTGGGCATAATCCGTAGAAAACCATTGACATACCCATGAAGTTGCAGAAATGGCAGTTTGGATCTAAGTGCCTCCAATTAAAGTGTGTAACATGGAAAGAGATTACAATGGAGCCTGTGACCAGGAGACCCATGAAATCAGTGACCACCAGGCCACCCAGGAAGACCAGGAAGAAGGAGCGTGAGCGGCTATGTGCCCGCCGGAAGGACTTGAGGAGAGCTACAAAGGCGATCAAATTGGAGGTGAGACCCAGAGCGGTGAAGATGGAGGAGAAGTAGGCAGAGGCGATGGTGGGGAAGTACTTGAATGGAGGGCTGTTGATGGAGTAGCAGAGTGGGGTGTTGTTGGCTGAGGCATTCATGGTGGCCAGCCGGTGTGGGGTTGTTGATTTCAGATGAGTCAGAGGTGTATTGGTGACACCAGTGTGAGGAATTTCATTTCTCTCTTCAACCTCAAAAGTAAAAAGAGAGAAGTTAAATATTTTCATACACAATACAAATGAAATGAGCAAAGGGAGCAGCAGTTGCAAAACTGCTGCTGCTGAAAAACTGATTCCTATTCAGCATCCTTTTTCTACACATACTTAGCTGTTCCCATCTAGGGTTATGTTGGGTTATAATTTTTTTCTTCCTCATATTTTGCCATAATTTACATTGGTTATTATAAAAGCCGTGACACACCAAGCCAACAGTCAGCCGTTGGTCAATGTTGGGCCATCAGTGAGCGCCTGTCGCCCTAGTTCTTGCAGTGTGTCCCGCACCATTAGCATTATTTGGCAGTATTCGGCCCTTGTCAGCTTTTATTTGGCTGATTCAGCATGTTGAATTGTCATTGGAGATGGCACAGCTTGTCTGTGAATGAAATCACTCTAATTTGGAGTTCAACTCAGTGCACAAGTAGAGAAACGGAGTGAGGAAAGCAAACAAACGACTAAAGTCAAGAAGGTGACAGATCAAAACAAACTTGTTAAATAGGGTAAGATTATGTTTTAGCCATTGACTTCTTCAGTGGAAAAGGCTCATTATTATTCTTGTTAGTCAATATCATTTGTTCTTTCAACATTCTTTCAACTTGTGTCTTGATCTTGTCAGTCTTCCGGTTTCTCTTTTTTGAATGACAAAGACAGACTGCTGCCTCCTGCTGGTATGGAGAGTCATTTCCTCTCATGTGGGTGCAAAACATAAATGCTAGTTGGCCTTCAACATTACTAGTTCTTTGATGGTGGTTTGGTGTGTCTGGGAGTTAACACTGTGTTCACCAACCTATTTGCTAAGATCAGGGGACATGGCTACATGTATTTGCTAGAACACTGTCCAATGATGCAAGAAACAGGAGTTACTCAAATGATTAAACCAACAGTGTAGTTATGTTATCGCAAACACTTTATTTGGAGTTAAAACTGAGAGCAAGTTCATCCGAAATGTTGGTGATAATTTCTCATTTTACAGTAAAACAGCACAACCACATTAAGTTAAAGCTGAACCTTGAGACTGGGCTGTAAACTGTGACGTCACAAAGGACTGTTTCTGTAAGTATTTCACCGCTTTCCTTTGTTTTCTCTCTCTGACCTGGGGGCTGTCAGATCATCTGACTGCTCCTGTTGTTTGCCCTTACTGACATCATTTTTAGCAGCGTATGCTCCCAGATCTCAGCAATTTACTAATTAAATGCAAAAATAAGACACTATTCTTAAAAAAAAAATCTACATCTTAATCCAATGCATCTTGGAGTACAGTGAGTGCCTGTTTAGATTTGACATAAAAAACATATAAAGTCAATGTACCAGCTCAGATACAGCAAGTACACAGCACCCACACAGACACAAGCACACAGGGACAACATGGGGCAGAGATGGAGAGAGTGACACAGAGGCCGATATAGACGGAGAGTAGGAGAGCTGTCGTATCCTGGCAGGAAATGCAGTTATGTGAACAGTCCTGGCAGAGATATTAACAGGAAATAAACACACAGTGTCACAAACAGACTATGATGTTGTCCCTAGTGGTCTGTCCCCAATATACTGCCTGTAATGGGCAGATTATATGTGACTGGCTTCAAGTAAAGTGGAGGTGGTGCACGTTAGGCCAGATATTGAAGTGAAATAAAATATGGGATATAAATGTCGTTAAAAAAAATATTTGTTTAATGGCGTATCATGTGGGTATTTCTATCATCCTCAAAATACCATAAAGAAATGACATGGAAATATAAATATTCCATGTTAGGACCTGCATACTAACATATGCCTACTAGATACTCAGCCTGTATGGACTGCACACTGCCTTGTAAATGAATGCATAAGAATGCCATCACCAACAGACTGTTTTCACTGAAGTATATTTCCAGACAGAAGGTTATGTGACTGTATGACATTGCAGACAGCCCGTCTGACTCGGCCAGCGGCTCTCACATCAGCTCTCATAAATGTTGCAGAACATTTCCAAACAGGTGTTATCAGGATAAACTGATCACATATTATGATCTACATGGTTACTTTTTTCAATCAAAATGTGTATTAAAATATATTAAAACTTCATAAAGTGACATAGTCAAAGCTTTAAGCCTAGCTCAAAATCTCCACTGTTATGCAGTCTGAAGAGATGCAATGCATTGTGGGGCAGTTGAGTATGTCCAGTAAGCTCATGCCTCAAATTCTCGCTATTCAAGTATACATCTGGGCTTTTTTCAAGTGCACAAAATCAACCTATAATGCAGTTGGAACACATTACATACTCATTTTGACATCATATGATACTTAACATGAATAGCACTTTAGTGTGCGATTCTAAACACAGCCTTTGTCTTTGCTTCAAAAGTCATCTCAGCATTTCCTGTGAGGTACTTTATTTCCATGAAGTAGGTGAAAAAAACATAGCTGATGACACTGATTATATCAAACTGTGGGTTTACTGTAACTTCCTGTTATCATGCCAACACTCATTTTATCAGTGATCAGAAGGTGTAACGTCTTGTACTGACGATGTTATATCTATGTAGGTGTAATGCTTTTTAAGATACGATAAAACTTGAAGGAAGAAGGAAATTCTGAGGAAAGACAGAGAAAAAATACGCTAAATGCGACATACATGATTCAAGTTAAAAAGCTAAATAAACAAAAAAAAAGATCATGTTTCCATTTACAAGGTGGGCTGACAATGAAGTAAATATGAATCAGAATGAAACTGAAAGCTGCGATAAGTGTTTGGAAGCTGTTAAATTCAATAACCAGAAATCCTGTCCTAAAGATTTTCCATTTGGACATTTCTGTCACTTGTCCAATTACTTTATTGTTAAGGCATTTTCTATTGTTTAGCCTTTGTACATTAACCTAGAAAGATGCAGAAAGTATGGGTAACACATTTGGTAACTTAATCTAAAAAGCAGACGCTCTTTAAAAAGATGCACATGTAGCGCATATTTGATTTCATTAGCTGACTTTTTGACACCACCATCTGTCATTTTAATGTGCTCTGCTCTCATGTTTTCCTGTTAAACTGAGAGACTGAAAACAGAAACTGGAACTGGAAAAGGGGGAAAAAAATGCACAATGAGTGTGAAGATGCCATTGTATATTGTACATTGCACACATTACAAGCAGTTCAACAGTTCAACTGCACCACAACAAGCCTGTCCAACCCTTGAATTTATGTCTTCGAAGTGAGAAACAATACGTCAACAGTGGGGCAAAATTCATTTCCAGCTCGCTAAAAATATGTCTTTATGTTGTGTTGAATTCAACATTTTGCTGCTGTTTTATCTCAGTCTCAGTGGCTGATTTACACCTACATAAAAATCTTGGAAACTTTCACAACTCAGTGGAAATCCCCAGGTGACAAAATGCCCTTGACACTGAACCTGTTAGGAAAGATTTTGTTTGTTTGTTTTTTGACCATACATTTCAAAAGAAATTCTTATTTGATTCTATTCTGGTATTAACAAAGTGGACATGTTAAGAGCAAATTTGCTGCTCCATCTATCAATTGCAGGAAATGGACACATACATGTTAAGCCATATGACTAATATCACTTAACATGTCTCGGTTGTGGGAAATGGATGGATGTATCCATTTCCCACAATCGATATATAGAGCAGCACATATTCATATTAGCCGTGACAACAGGTTTTGTGTCTAATTGCCACATATTCCCAAATGGCAGAAAATCTAAAGATACATGAAATGAGAGAATCCTCTGTGATAAGCTAACTACACCATTATCAGGTCCTTTCATACCTCAGAGAATACTAAAATGAGAGAGAGGGTACGCGGCGCCAGCTCTTGTACGACCCTGAAAACCTCTTAAGTGTGCCATTAGCCAAAAGTGCCTGTTAGCATCTGAAAATCAATATGTCATATTCAAAATGGCTTCACTGAGGCAGTCCAGTGGTTTTCTGTTCAAACTAATGGGAATCCACGGAATGAGGTGCGTGAACTGCATGCCATGGAAAATGCAGAGTGTGTGCAAAATATGTGTCGAGAGGTTTCTGAGTAACTGCCGGAATCTTTTTCTGAAGAGAACTTTTTTTTTTCATCTAAATGCTGAACAGATTGGCTTCCACAAGACATTATTAAAATAGGGTTTGCAGTGTGAAACATGCAACATGTACTGAAACATTCTGAGACCTCTGGAATAGTCCTGCAGTCCATCAATACTGTGCAGTAATGTATTATCCTTGTTGGTATTGCATTCCTTTTAATCAAATGTATTCATAATTAATTAAAAACAAAAACATGGGTTTGCGTTACATTATCAAGGCATAAAGGACAAAAGCTAAAAAAAAGCACTAATTTGGGAGATAATAAAAACTAGAGACCATCTTGCATTGGGGCGGCTGTTGCTCAGGAGTTACAGCGGGTTGTCTGCTAATTGGAAGATCGGCACTTCGATCCTTGGCTCCTTCAGTCCGCATGTCAAAGTATTCTTGAGCAAGATACTGAACCCCAAATTGCTCCCGACGGCTGTTCCATCGGTGTTAGAGCATCTGAATGGTTACTGGGTAGCAGATGGCACCATGTATCATAGCCTCAGCCACCAGTGTGTAAATGTGACTGGTAGTGCAAGTGTAAAATTGCTTTGAGTGGTTAGAAGACTAGAAAAGCACGACACAAGTGCAGTCCAATTCCCATTTTCTCCAGCTGCAATACAGCAATCCACAATTTAAAACAAATGTGAGCCCCCCTGGTCCCCTGGCTAGGACCACATCAATTGTCATACTCAGTCATTATTTAGATTACAGCTACACACCTGTAAAATTTTATAACTGCATGTTGCATGGTTGAGAAACTATCACATTAATGAAATCTGCCCACAGACAGTCAGACAGACGGACAGGCAGACAGACAGACAGACAGACAGATAGGCAGACAGAAACACCTGGAAAACTACTCAAAACAGCTGTGGTAGTTCCTGCAATAAAAGGTGTCACCAGGACCCATTTTGCCATGATAACACACACACAGACTCACGAGGTGGAAACGATACCAGCCCTGATCACATTCCTTTGCATTAAGTCTATTAGCCAATAAAGTGGTTTTGACATTGCGCTTTCAGAATCTTCACGGTCTGATGGTTTAACTGGGTCCTCTTAGAAATCATTATTTCAAATACAAGACCCCAAATGTCAACCTAACTTATGTAAAAATCTTGACACTATATGACATCATTATTCATTTTAATATTAGAAGATCTTTGGTAAATGCCAAACTGTTTCTATGCAGTTTATCAAATAGTACAGAAAAAGAGTGAGAAACTGATGTGTATACTGTCCAGAAATCTGTAAAGTTGTTAATGATGCTGACAAGCTGTCTAAATTCTTAAAAAGGTTTTGGAGCCGACCCTTGTTGACTTGACCCTACACAAAACTCTCTAAAGAAACAGCTGGCAGAACACCAGTTTGTGTTTTTACATGCTGGGTGGAAAGAGTTCATATCAAAACACATGGATTGCACTCAGTCCACTACTGTGTGTGTTTGATTTAGGAGGACCTGAGCCCATATTTCACGCATTATTTCTGCCAGACTAGTCGTATTTGTCACAAGGTAGAGAGGCCACTGCACTGACAATGTGCTGCTGTGCCTCGCTGACTTACAGAATTGAGAGAGCATCTTCTGCGAGTGCACTGGGACGGGATCCAGCATCATTTCTAAAAATATAGGGCCAAAGGTTTCAGTTTCTGGCAAACAATTCTGCCACAGGCAACGAGCCTTTGTTTATTTTAACATGCACACCATCAGTGGGAGATAATTCATGAAGACTGGCAAACGCTGGCATCATGAACCACATCTATTATACCAGGAGATTGTTCCCAAGAGAGTTACCCATTATAAGTTGAAGTAAATACTGAGTTTAATATAATTTGGCGTAAAATTGTCCTTTAGTTCATTTTCACAAAACCCTTTGCAGAATTTAAATGACTGAACCACTGAAAGTGAAAGTTAATCATTACAGTAACCCCAGAGCTGTTTTTGACAGTGTCTAATCAATACTGCACTGAGTTAGTGCAACTTTCTTTCAATAGTAAACTGAAAGTCTCAGAATATGATTTCTTACAGTGACATATTGGCAAATGATGAAGAAGTTTGATGCCAAATACTTACATTTACAAATCTATAGCAACAACACAAAACAATTTAAGCTGACAAAATGCAACTTCTACTGGGTGCCCTGAGAGAAAAGAAACCTAGAGTAGCCCTATTTATTCTGAAATACTGCAACAACCAGAATTATAACATGCACATATCATAAAGTCTCTACTCTGCAAAACTTCCAGTTAATCTTTCATGTGTCATAAACATTTGTTTTTAAAAGTTGATTTCTGAGAGATTCAAATTTATCTTACCACCGCAGCTGCACTTTCAAGATCCAAGTTTACTCTCAGTTGGGAAGTTTGCAACACTCCATCCAAACCATCTTTCTGCACTTATGGTTTAACAACACAAACAATAGCCACAGGAAGAGGTGGGAAACATATCTCGTACACCAAGTCCCATGTGATGGAATTAAAGTTCTACAGCAGGCTGCAAGCACTAACCCCTGATCATCTCCACTCCCTTCCCCTATAGCTCAGATACTCATCTCTTCCCCTCCAGTCGGGTTTCCTTTTGCTCAGTTGGCCCCTCCCCGGAAGACAAAAGGGGAAGGGCTCTGGGAAGACACCACACAGTATTTTAGGCAGAGGAATGAGCAGCAGACAAAAGTCGTAAAGAATCAACTGGAGGCAATGAATTGTGGACAGTGGGTTGAAAGGGCATTTGTCTCATGTTCAGTCAGAAATTCTATTTAACTTGTACGTGTGAGTGTGTGTGATGGGGAGGTGGAGGTGCTGTCATGTCAAACTGTAGAAGAGGGTCAGTGAAAGACTATTTAACACACCAAAACACACAGTATGGGACTGAACAGTGACAGTGCTTAAAATGCCAATAAAAATGAAGTTGGGTTATCTTAAAAAAGCTGTGTTACAGTAATGTTTGCCTTTTGTTGACTTAAGACTTTAGCAAATGGAGTGATCAAACTCATTTAACGACACTGACATTCAATTCAAGACTATTCTGGAACAACTGGGAAAAGGTGGGCATGCCGTCGACAGATGCTTTTATTTCTTCGGCTTTAAATTTTTTATATTGAATCTGACCTTTACACAGTGCACATAACTGAAAGACTTATTCGGATAGACATATGCAGAGCAGATGTGGATCATGGTTGCCAAACTCTTTCAGCTAAGCAAAGGCATGTGAATCAGTTACGAGCAGAATCTGGCAGGAATGAAAGTAAAAAGGAGAAGTTACAGGGTTATTAATGTTAGAGGTTATATTGCTGTCATTTTCTTTGCTGATGAATGTGTACAATTCACAATGTGTATTGAATCTGAGGAAAACAGTCTGCCAACTGCAACTTATGTTGGACAAATGGGAATCAGTGGACATTAAAGGGATAGTGAGTAAGATTTTGGAAGATTTAGTGGCTTCTATGGGGCGAGGATTGCAGACTGCAACCAGTTGAAACTTCTCCTGATTAGAATTCCTTCAGTGTTTATCATTCACGATGTTTTTATTGGGAATTATCTACAGAGGTCTCTTTCCTCTCGAAAATAAACGGGGTCAATAAAACTGGTAAAAGCACTAAATTGCTGTCAAACACATCATTCGTCAGTCAACACTGTAATCTCTCAAAAAAATCTAAAGTGCTTCTTTTTTACTGAGTCAGAGCTTACCCCTGATGACCTTTACCCTTTCAATGAAGCCTCTCCCCCCAGGCTATTTTGACTTTCATTAACTTAATTATTCTTGCGTGAGGTTGTGGGGTTGCAGTAATTCAGAAGAATGCCCTCAAGTGCTCCCTTATTTCTATGGCCCCTTTTTCATCTTTTGAATTGTTGGCTTTTATGATAGATGACACCCCGCTAGTGTACATACTCCGTAAGCCAAATATTAATTTTATCTTTTTTTTTCCAGTCAGTTTTCAATAGTTTTTCATCCTCTGATCTCCTTTCCCACATTGTTCTGAAATCCAACAGCATTGTCATTCTCATCAGATTTTAACATCCACATTTGCTGAATTATGAATGAACTTAAATCTTTAGGTCTACAGCAGTCTGTGAACAGCCCATGGTAAGGGCCACACCCTATACTTAGTCCTCTTCTCTGGTTTATCTATCTCCTTCACCAATCAATCACAAGGCTACCATTATCTCAATTGACCTTTCGCTAAGCCCTGCCCCTTTGTGATGGTCCAACAAGCTGTCAGAGTAAGCATGGAGCTGACACTATAACTAATTGCACTCCCTGTAGAAATATTATCATATTTTTGGAAAAACTGAAACAGTGATTCCAGAGAGAAGCAGACAGAGGGGTCTACAGTCTCTGTTTGAAGGATATATCCAGGATGTCAAACTGACTCAGCAGCAACAACAGGTTAAAAAGACAAAGATAGTTAGAAGCTAAAGTTGAATTATAGGCTACAGATCACAGTGTAAAAGTGAACCACTACATCACTGCTGATCGCCACACAAGACAATGAATATAAAGGGAAACTTTGCTGATATTGAACCAGCTGTGTGGCATCGCAGTGTGTGCAGATGAACGGTGTGTGGCTTCACCCCCATGCCACCACCAGCACCCAGACCTCCGCTGCCGGACGGGCGGGGATCTCCGGGGGGAGTCAAACAATGTTGATCTGCACACAATGCAATGACACACAGCTGGTTGAATATCTGCTTCCCTTCATTGGTTCCTGTACAGCAGGGTCAGTCTTTTCTTCTGTATTATAATCATTAAAAAACATTCAGTAGGCTATATCTTCAGTAGCTAGCTAGTTAACCCTACACTTTTCAGGGTTTGATTTTGGTTTTGGAACAGGGAAGAAACGTATATCTTTTTCCAACCTCTCCAGGTAATGAGTATCATTAATACACAACGTGCCCCAGGCACAACACTTAGCTCCAAATCCACAAAACCAGCCTGAAAATGAAGGAAATCTGAAACGATTGCGTTAAAGTCAATGGAGCACAGCTGTGTTGTTGTTGGACCCTGGTATGAGCCCGCCCAATGCTACGTTATAATTGGCCAGTCTGCGTCTGGGGGGCTGGACTTAGCAAAGGGTCAATTTGCCACATTCTTCTCCTGTCCGCCCTGTTCTTCTCTGCTCCCGCATTATAAATTCCTCCACTGCTACAAAGTTTGCAGAGGCCTGTGGGGAAGCTTCCATCATTACCAGCAGTAAGGCTGCACCATGTCATGTAAGCACAGAGGAAGTTGTCTTGTTATGTAACAGTACTGTTTCAGCCACCGTTGACTGTGTCATGCCAATCAGAGCTAAAAAACATGAGCTTGTGGCCTCACCATGGCTTAACAAAAATACTAGAGAAATAAGGAGAGCATGCGGAAGGGCAGAGCGGAGGTGGAAGCGGGATAAATTACAGATTCCAAATTCAGAAGGATCTTTTGGTTTAATACCAGCAGGCTGTCGAAACTGCCAGAGCTCAATACTTCTTCAATATTATTATCAAAAATGGTCACAATCTCAGAGTACTTTTTAGTGTTTTCACTCCTTCACTCCCTCCTCCTACTTAGAAGCAGCCGTCCTTAAATGTGAAGAATTCCTACACTTTTTTAAAGACAAAGTTCTTAATATCAGACCAAGTATTATTCCATCTGTAAATAGTCTATCAACTTCCTCTGAGAACATTGCAGTTATGAATGCCTTTAACTCCATTACTCTACCAGAGTTATTGTCTCTTCTATGAATACCTCCACCTGTTCTCTCGACATTATTCCAACTAAATTCCAACAAAAGGGCACTTCACAGTAGTGAATCAGCCCTACTAAGAAAACCTAATGACTTCCTCTTAGCTGCTGACTCAGGTCACTGCTCCATCCTCTTCCTCCTGGATCTAACTGCAGCCTGTGACACAGTAGACCACTCTATTCTCATTCCCAGATTAAATGAATGGGTGGGGGTTTTTGGTTTTGCTTTAAACTAGTTCTTTTCATATTTATCCAACAGATCCTCTTTTGTTTCTATCAGTACCTCATTTTCTTCCTCGGCTCCCATCTCCTGTGGTGTCCCCCAGGGATCCATACTTGGTCCATTCATCTTTTCTATTTATTTAGTTCCACTGGGCCACATTATTCAAAACCATAAAATGTCTTCTCACTGTTTAGCAGATGGCGCACAGACACAGATCTGCCTCTCCTCAGAGTCAAACAAGATCAACAAACCAAATGACCTCAATAACTTTCTCCATGACGTCAAATCCTGGATGGCTGCAAATTTTCTCCATTAGAGTAAAACTGAAGTTATTTTATTTTGTATTTTATTTTATTCTTATTTCTCCTTTTCTTGACCCATTGCCACCCTCAGTTAAATCACATACAGAAATTCTTGGAGTCATAGTTGACTCTGACTTGAAGTTTTAAAAAACAAATCAATCAAGTCATAAAATTAAGTTTCATGCAGCTGTGCACCATCTCCAAACTCAGATCAATTTCTGAACCACCTTCATAACCTTCAGCCTTGATTACTGCAACTTGTTATGTTTTGGTATGGCTGAGTCTTGTTTATCCTGTACTCCAAAATGCAGCAGCATGAGTTTTAATAAAGTCAAAAAAGAAGGTTCACATTGCCCCCATTCTTGCCTCTGTCTGTTAGCTACAGGATACATTTTAACATTTGTCACACAATGTTAAACTATGTTACCCCCTCTGACATTGTAGAGCTCCTTTCCCCATATCACACTGAGAGAGAACCGAGATTGTCTAACCAAAGACCTCTGTCTGTGTGTTATGGGGACAGGGCTTTCTCTATCACTGCCCCAAAACTCTGGAATTTTCCTCCTCCCACCATCCGAATTGCTGCCACCACTGAGGTTTTAAAGAGTCTTCTTCAAACACACTTTAACTTACTGGCCTTTAATTGTGCATAATGTGATTGTCATTATTCCTGTTACTGTCATAATGCGTTGACAGTATACGAACAATACAGATACTGTGCTTGATATTGTTATTACTATAGGTACAATAATAACGGTAATAATATTTTTTTTATTAAACTGTTTTTGTGTTTGTTTCCGTCTTTTGTCCCTGTAAAGCACTTTGGATTAACTGTGTTGGTGGTGGGGGGGTTCTAACTACTATGGCTAATGGGAAAACGCGAATGGTCCTATCTAGACCTGCATCCCACGTACAAAGACAATGTCCTTGCTGCAGCGGCCACAGGCTTGATTACAGCCAATGGCCTTTTGCTGCATGCAAAAATTTTGTTTAAAAAAATTACAATTTGTGGCCTTGGGCAGTATTGCTGGGTATTCCTATGAACAATGATGAACAACAGCTGGACATTACTTCTTTGTCATCACAGTGAGGTTGCCAGGCAACCAGCACTATATAGAGATGCTCTTTACAAACTACTTGGCTGATATATAAAATATTGTTTGTCTATTAGCTACCTAATTTTTACCTTCAAAGGTTGAATAATAAAAACCGAAAAAGCTGTTTTTCCTTTGGCTTTGTTTTACTTGCACACATGCACACACATCAAAACACAGACACACACAC